ATGTGAGTTGATGAAAATTCCGATGCAAAGAATTTAATTCACGAACAAAATTATCACATAGTTGATTATAAACCTTTAGACAGAATAGAAAAAAGAATAATGAAATTATTGAATTATTTTAAAACAACCACAAGATAAAAACAGAAAGAATATTTTTATAACTTAAGTCAGTCAGCTAATGTGAACTATCTTAACATTCAGCAATCAACTATATCACTAGTCACAGGTTTCAAGGAAAATCCCCAGAGTCCCATTGTGAAACAATTTAAGCGATGGGATTCAACTATGTATGATACAGGTATCACAGATAACAATGGATGATAGTTATGTAAAATTGAGAATTGACATTGTTGACACGAGTTCGTAAGTATACTGCAAAGTTAATACTCTTTAGATGCTTATTAGTGGAGCAAAAGCTTACTTTACTTCATCAAAAAGTCTTATCAGATAAATTTTACATAATGGATTTTGTTTTCAGTTAATTTTCAGTTAGTAATGAGAGGATCCGCACAAAACCAACATAATACTAATGATCGTGTGTTCACTAGTGAATAGTCTAGAAACAGATTTCCAGAAATTCCAGTGACAAATCTTCACCTCCAAAACTTAGCCGATTATAAGAAGGCAATAACTTGCTGATAATATATTAGTTATATATGAGGTGAATTATTGGAATCCGCTTTAGGTATGAAGTCGTATATGTGCGGACCGCTAAGGAGTTTAAGACTAGAGTGAAATAGTTGTATAATACTCCTTATCTCTCCCAGTAGCTTCTTTCGTTCAAGTCAATTCACAATAAGTGTGCATTTAACAATTGTCCTACTTTTTGATTAATCAACGTCAAGCTAATAACCTTTTCAGTGAATTATGAATCGATAAAAAATAGCAGTAAAAAATCGGACACAAGTAATTCTCTGTAGTTATGTTACCTCATAATATTGCTGAAGGTCTATAAGAACCAAACTGAGGAAACGGAGTACTTATTGGTACATCATTACCATTCAATAAAATATGTTCGTTGTCAACTTATCGATGCATCTGGTTGCCATAATAAAGACATTTAAATATAATCTCCATATTAAACACGTGGTGTTGCCCTTCGGTGATTATATTTTACATAATGCCTAACTCAATCCTTTGCTTTTGAAAATAGAACAGTCATAGACTTACACTAGGATCTTATATGCAAAAAATACAGAGCACTGAATCTTACAGGTGCATCACTGTAAGAGTAACTTACTTTGATGACTACTGATCTAAGACGATTTAATTTGACCGCTAAACGGTTGCTTCCAATTGATTCTTACATTTACGATGTTGTATGCCGACAATTACAGATAAGAACGTATTTCATGGACAAATAAATTGAAGGAAAATATTACACTCTGAACGTACACACATTCAAGATATAGCCCACGAAAGTTCACTTACGTTATTCCATAGTGATTCTGGCAAGAGACTGTCACATTTAAGCATTTTTATTAAGAAATTATAATGTTTCTTTTGTTGAGTATTTCTAGATAATACAGGCAAGGAATTATCTCCATATGATATGTTGACAGTAACACTGTTAGTGGTGTTTGCAGTAGTAGGAGCTTTCGAAAGAGGTTTTCTCCGTGTTTTACTATTTTTATCATCATTAATATGACCAAACAAGTGTTGCAACTTTTCATTTTGATATGGAGCATAATTTGTAGTTAGTAGATAGTAGGCCAAATTTTTACAATGATCAAGTGACATATTGATGACTGTATAAATGAAGAAAGTGACGATACTGATCAAAATATTTTAATAAAGGTGGAAATAACTTTAAAATATTCTTTTGAACCCATGTAAACTCTACCTTAAAACTACAGTAAACTTAGTTAAAAGAAAGCGTTGTGATACTGGATTTTTGAAATTAAGGAAAGAATACAATGAAATTCATAGACAGAAGTTAACTAAATGACTGTAATTCGTAAATAAAGAAGGTACGAATCGAGCGAAGAAATTTCTTTTCAATTTGTTTTTCATCATGGATCCACACTAATATATATATGATTTACAATAATGAAATAATACTCATCGAGTAGATACGTTACGTAATAATTACATAATGACATTTCGATCATAAATTAACATTGGGTAATTGGAAGAAAGAGGATTAATAATAATCAAAGTAATTGTCCGAAAATCAAGAAGCTGCTACGTTGCATAATATATGAAGAAGAGAAGGAACAGAATATTTTGATGAATGGTCAGTAGAATAGTAGTTGTGTAAGAATCAAGAGATGAATGTTGAGAATATGTAAAATACAAAGTTCAAAAAACAAAATGGAAGAAGTACGAAAATAGTTTATCAATGTTCTGCTACAAACTACGTCTAAATCTTTTACTGACACTAATCAGTAAAATATGCTTACTGAAAAGAATCGGTGATATTTTATGTGGCCAATAGCACTGCAGTCAGTCAGTCAGCCACAACGTAGGACCAGGCACATATATGCATCAGTCCAAGTTGCCATACCGCATCAGCACAAGATTTACACCGGATTCATATAAGTGGTTAATTCAGAGGTGGTAATATATAAAAGAAAGATTGCAATAAGTATATAGTACAGGAAGAAAGAATTAGTTTGTAGAAAGAAAGATATGAAGCGATTTTAATCTCTTAGTTTAAGAGAAGACAGAGAGTGTATATACACCGACGCCATTGTGATCGATTCTGAGCCATGTCACCAAGAGTCTCCAACCATTGGTTACGATAGTCACGCGGACCCCAACCAAGTAGTCTGCATCTACCAACATGGCTCAGACTAGAAGTTGGTGACCTAAAGCACTGATGCCACGTTTTGGTTTGGCCGCCCCTAACCTTCTTCCAACCATCTCCAACACCGGTTAGCATTGCACGTCGTGGTAATCGGTGTTCGGGCATACGTAACACGTGACCCAACCATCTCAGTCGTTGAAGATTAACAAACTCGTCAACTGATTTATCATCATTCCCTAATACCCTGCGTCTAACCTCACTATTACTTACCCGGTGATCTCAGCAAACGCCAGCAATATTTCTAAGGCATCTGTGGTCAAATACTAGTAGCTTACGACTATCTTCTACTCTTAAAGGCCATGTCTCGCTGCCGTAAAGTAAAACAGAACGGACTGCCGCGCAGTATACTCGTCCCTTTATTGATAGACGGATATCTCGCCTTCGCCAAAGGTGACGCAAGTTGGCAAAAGCCAAACGAGCTTTTCGAATACGTGCTGAGATTTCGTCCGATACCAACCCATTAGGGCTGATCAGACTTCCAAGATAAGTGAAGTTGTCAACGCGTTCGACTACTTCACTCCCTATCCTTAGTTCAGGTGTTGACGCAGACCAGTCCTGAAGCAACAACTTGCATCTAGAGGGAGAGAAGCGCATTCCAAACATTCTGGCATTGTTGCTTAGTGCTACCAAAAGACTCTGCATTTTATCAGAGTCTTCACCAAACAGGACTATGTCATCTGCGTATTCTAAGTCGATAAGTGGACCTCCTGGTAGGAGATCAATACCCGAGAACTCAGTCAACGAGAAAGTTATTTCCATCAGTAGATCTATGATGAAGTTAAACAAAAATGGAGAAAGTGGACAGCCTTGACGGACACCACTTGAGGTTGCAAAAGCGGATGACAGTTCGCCATAAGCTCTGACTCGACTGGTAGTGTTCGAGTAAAGAGCCTTCACAGGGTTTATGTACTTCTGAGGTACGCCTTTCAACGACAAACACTGCCACAGGATCTCGCGGTCTACAGAGTCAAATGCTGCTTTTAAGTCAAGAAAGACCACCATTGTCGGACGTCGATAAGTATGCCTGTGTTCTAGAACCTGACGAATGGTGAATATGTGGTCGATGCAGCCACGACCAGGTCTAAAACCAGCTTGGTTCTCTCGTGTTTGCAGTTCACGAGTCTTAGTTAGGCGTCTGATAATTATCGAGGTTAGTATTTTAAATACTATATTAGTTAAAATAATCCCTCTGTGGTTGTCACAAAATGATTTTGACCCTCTCTTATATATTGGGACGATAAGTGATTGCGACCAGTCAGATGGAATAACGTCTAACTCCCAGATCTTAGCTAAAATATTAGTCAACCTAATCGCTAAAATTGGACCACCATCCTTAAAGACTTCTGGAACCAATCCATCTGGACCAGCTGCCTTTCCTCGTTTCAGATTAACTGTAGCCTTCTCAACTTCAGCAAGAGTTGGGCGGAACATTTTAGGGAATAGCACTGCAGCCCATATCACACCCTTGTTTTTATTTTGTATTGTTTATTTGAATCTTCCCATTGATGTTTATGACTGCAATTGGTCAGTCTGTTATTGGCATATGTGCAACCTGTGAGGATTGCCTCGATGTTGCCTTAAGTCACAAGCATTATCAGCAAAGATGGGTGGTGGGCAGCAGTAGGATCCAGGACGCGTGTTTCGTCCTATTTTGGACTCGTCAGCTGGATGCACTTGCATCTGAGTTGATGTTTACTTCGGTACTTGAGTCGAGTACCGTCCGCTTAGAACACCGTTGTCTTATTTCACTTAGATACTGAGTCTCAATAGCCACTAGCTGATACGATGGGGAAGTGTAAATCAACTGCAGTCCTAAGCATCATTGGGAAGATTCAAACAAACAAAACAAAATGAATTTAAACTTCGCCCCATTTCACAATCTAGTGGCTATCAGGATTCAGTAGCTAAGCGGATAACATGATGGCATTCGAAGCGGGCGGTACTGGGTTTGAGTCCCGGAGTGAACATCAATTCGAGTGCATGTACACACAGCTGACGAGTTCAAAACAGGACGAAACGCGCGTCCTGGATTTTACTGCTACCCACCATCCATCTTTACTCACACCCTTGTTCTGTTTGAGACTAGTCACCTGAATAAGCATACAATGGTAAGGTTATTCTACAATCAGAATGGGAAATTTATGTAGATAAAGTAAGACTTACAATCTATAAAAATTTACTGATAAGTCAATCAGTGTGTTGGAGTATTTGAACTTTTCAGCCCAAAGCAATAAAGTTCTTCCAAATTGCGGTACCGATTTTCATGCAAGACACTCTAAAATGCAACAGTGCAAATGTACAAGATTTAATACTGAGTGTGTAGGAGGTTCTGTAAATTATTAACTGTAATCACCTAAGAAATACAGACTCAAATTCCCGACAGATTGAGTTTTGCAATAGGATGCGATTGACAAGAAGCCATTAAATTAAGCTTCATGCATTTTAGCATGACTCGCATTGTTTTGACCTTAAGGGGACCTTTGGAATTCAACTTGTTTACTGTTGGAACCATGATATTAAATTCCTAATAATGGATCGGAGAATCCCTTTATTCATCGGCAATATGCTTGCATTTTATTGATATGTAAAACCCAAACGACACAAACTGTCATAATTATTAAGTGACAGATATCAGATCACGTCAACTTTTACTTGAAGCTTGACTGGTGTTAGGTAAATATCGTAGTGTTAAGCTTAATTCTATTACGAATTAAGCCTGTTAAAGGAAATGAAGGAACCTGGATTGAGCTAGATATTTCTAACGAACATCTACTTCGGTACTACCTAATTGAATGGGCTATCTAGTGAGAAGACTAGCCAATGCAACGCAAGGAGACATTAAATTCAATGCGAAACACCAAGACATTTCGCGTAATGACAATTCTTAGGAAGACAAAAGAAAAGAGAAATCTGAAATAAGGACAGATAATTTTTGGCGAACTAGATGGTACATTTTAATGATTATTTATCAGGTAGTCATATTATGAGAATTGTATAGCCTTAATTATGAGCTTTTCAGCCTACTGACTATACATTTGTTACTCAGATTAGAATTAGGAATATCTTAGTTACGTATCTATTAATATTTGTACTATGGTTGTGTTGTGGTCCTGTTTTTTATTTAACACATTGAGTTATGAATCTAAACAAATAAAGGTAATTTCGACCAATCCCTGGGGTTCTTAGTGTTCTAACTGGAAGCTTATGAATGTGGAAGTTTGCGAGAAAAATAGTTTCCATAAATATAGAGAGTTCATCATTTGCGTGTGGGCTGTGATACTGCCCGGGTGCCCAGACCGAAGCAGGTGGTTATCTTAGGAGGCCACACCCCGAGCCTTTGACCTAAAGGTCTAACCCACAAGGCAGCGGAGCATCGTAAGGAGATGTAGTCCCATGGTAGTCGGTGATCGAAAATGGGTTCATACGCCATTTGTTCCTGCACGATACTGGAGCCAATGTGCACCATTGGTTTGGAATCCGGTTAAAGCGCCGGACATTCGCTTTTCGTCCTCTCATTCTCGTAAACAACACCCCCGCCACGAGAAGGCAGTGAGTAGGACTTCCCTGGCAAAGACTGTATACGCGTGGCCGTGTGAGAGTATTTCGAGAGGGAGGGCGGACCCACCCCGCTCTCGGCCATACCAGGGCATTTGGGGGATTATTGATCTCATTAAAAAATTGGGTAACGGAGTTGGTAAGCTTACTATTGGAGGCGTAAATAAGAACATAGGAATAATATAAACAAAGTTAAAACTACTATTAACAGTGATCAATTCTAGCAATAATAAATACTTACTAGTGAAGAAGTTCTACAAACTGCTATACAAAATTCGAATGCATCTGTAGCTAATTGTAGATGACGTTTATAGTTAGCACTAAGACTTTGAACTTTATCCCACAGGGATTTCTTAAATGTAACATAAAAGAGAAATGCAGCTTAATATTTGCCTAGTTGAAAATAAAAATCGAATCAATTCAAATTCTAAGCAAAATGAAACTCAACGACTGAAAGTCAAACGTTCTGACCACCGAGTCGACATTGATTCGTTCAGAATTAAGTGAACAGAACGCATACCATTAAGAGTCACCACTGATACCAACCTATAAGGAGATTCAAAGATAAGTCTCCATTTAGTATGCTTGTAAATTAAGATGAACTGTTCATAACATTGCAGGAAATCTTTTGGAAGAGTTTTGACGGAGTCGAAATTGAGATTTAGCAAAGTATTTGTCGATAAGTAAAATGACAATTCAAGAATATTGTTTATTAGGAATTTACAAAAATAAGAAAATGGAAAGTTAAAACTTGACACATTGAGTTGTAGTCATGATTGAATGAAAAATGTTAAAAAGGCAAGTTAGTCACATGTCGTTTCAATCACTCCGGGGTAGTTGAATGTTAACCACTGACTTTTGTTAAACGTAAGGTCTATGTTTTAGCCTTCTAGTTGTTACGGTTTCTGAGAATCTCAATATGACAGAGATATGTTTTGTACTCGTTATTTCGAATGTTTTTACTTGCATGTCATGTTCAGGTGGTGTGCCATCAAAATACAAAAACTGATTTTGCAGATACATGTAATATGTGTGTACATATACCTCCGTAGGTATGGTATGTGCTTTGCACCTTCGAAGTGCAAAGTACTTCTACAAGACTGGCAGGATTCCAATCCTGTACTCACCCTGGACGGTGAACAGATAGACGTAGTCGAGAGGTTCGTGTATCTGGGTAGCATCATAAGTGCTGATGGGGGTGTGAGTGATGAGATCAATGCACGAATAGTGAAAGCCAGAGCGGCTTATGCCAATCTGGGCCACTTTTGGCGCCTTCGCGATGTTAGTCTGGCTGTAAAAGGTCGGATCTACAACGCGTCGGTGAGAGCAGTTCTGCTCTATGCTTGTGAAACCTGGCTTCTCCGAGTAGAGGAAGTTAGACGACTCTCTGTGTTCTATCATCGCTGTCTCCGAAGGATTGCTGACATCCAGTGGCAACACCATGTCAGTAATGCAGAGGTTCGGCATCGTGTGTTCGGGCACAGAGATGATAATGCAATTGGTGTCACCATCTTGAAACACCGACTTCGGTGGCTTGGACATGTTCTACGAATGTCATCCCAGAGAATTCCACGTCGTGCATTACTTGCCGACTCTCGGACTGGTTGGAAGAAGCGGAGAGGTGGTCAGTGCATGACATGGTGTCGTGGTATGAAAGAAAGCTGCAAAAGGCCGGCTTCAATCGGTCCTTCACGACTCCCTGGTTGGGGTCTGAGAGATGGTGCTACATAGTGGCTAGAGACGTTATCAGATATGGCTCAGAATAGAAGCCAGTGGCGATCCTGCTGTAACCTTTTACTTTCTTCATAAAATGTGGTAGTGTCTCCCTTACCTGAAAGATTTCTTCTGATTGTACCTTTTCGTTCCCTCGTTACTACCACACTACCTTTACACCAATCTCTTCGTTATTGTTCTCTTTTTCTTTTGCGCTCCTTAGTTGTTGTTTTGTTTTTGTTTTTTGTACTTCTCTTCGAATTTCCATTGTTTTGTGTGGCGCATATATATTGGTGCTCTCTTGTACCAATATCATGTGTTCAAATAAATAAATAAATAAATATATACCTCGAAACTACGATTAAGTTTTCGTGTAAATATTTCTGAGGTCAGTGGCATGTTTTGCATACTGGGTTGAGGCTCCTATTCTATTTATTGGCTTCCGATATTCAGAGCCAACCCAGAAATTTGTTAACCAAGTTCATCTTAAAGATGCAAATCAAATTCAATGGTTACGTTCCACAGAAGAGTCTACATAGAACTGTATCTTTTACGGACTATTAAAACTAAAGTTAAACAAGTTTTTTCACTATAGGGTTGTAGAGATGATTGAGTTCAAACTTACATTAATTCGATAACAACGCACATTTAGGTCGCGTCATATCTATTTTATAAGAGCTAAAGGTGACAACTAATTATTTAAACATTGGTAGATAAAACGGGAACTGAACTAAAAACTTGTGGTTGGAGCTTCAGATGTACTTATTTACTAACATTTAAATTTTGAAAAATAATAAAAAGTACTACAATAGCAAGCTGTAACTTACATTAATTGGATTGAGGCAGCAAGAAACACAATGTTCGTAAATAGAACAGCAGTAATTAGATTTGCATGAATGACAAAAAAAGCGCTGTGTTAAGTTTTGAAACGGGCAACAACTATTTGTCAGGAGATTAAAATAATTACACAGATATCCTAGTTCGTCAACAACGAGTATGGGACTTTGTTTTGTATGGCGACAAGTAGAGTTCGGTGATGAGGCCCTAATATCTAAAATACGAGTTAAACAGGAAAAATGAATCGACATAAAATTGAAGTAAATACAATCAAAGTGGACTATTTACTAGGACATAACTGCCTTTATTTATTCGACTAGAATATGACATTCATCTATGGAAACAGTGAATGCTAGTCCGGCCCGAGTACGAAAATGCAAGCCTACTGGAAGCAACTGCCAAGACTGCTGAGAATGACTGAAAACCTTCCATGGATATCGCTTAAAATCTCCAACGATTACGCAAATACATTCATCTTCTACCTCTCTGTAAATCTTGAGCAAAATATCACTGCAGTTCTCATCCCACACGTTTAACAATCTTCAGGCATTTATAATTTAAGCATGTTACGGCTGCTAGTAGTTATCGTATATAAGAAATATTTGAGGATCAGAATCACGTTTCTAAGCTAAATTTTAATTTTTCTTCTTCCCATAATAATATTATTAAGTTAACTCAGTTGTACGTTTTTTTATTGTCAGTCAGCTACAACGTAGGGTCAGGAACATATGTGCGTCGGTTCAAGTTGACATACTTTATTAGCACAAGATGAACACCAAATTCATAGAATTAGTTACTTCAATGGTAGTAATATATAAAAGATTGTGTATAAGGATATAATTCAGGGACAAAGAATTAGAAAGTAAGGTATAGAGTAATTGTAATCTCACGATTTAAGGGAAGACAAAGAGTGTATACACTTACGCCATTGTGATCGATTCTCAGCCATGTCACTCAGTCTCCAACCATTGGTTACAATAGTCACACGGACCCCAACTAAGTAGCCAGCATCTACCAACATGGTTCAGACCAGAAGTTGGTGACCTAAAGCACTGATGTCACGTTTTGGTTTGGTCGCCCCTAACTTCCTTCCAACCATCCCCAACACTAGTCAGCATTGCGCGTCATGGTAATCGGTGTTTAGGCATACGTAACACGTGGCCCAATCATCATAGTCGATGAAGATTCACAACTTCGTCAACTGATTTACCATCATTTCCTAATACCCTGTGTCTAACCTTACTATTACTTACTCAGTGATCCCAGTAGATGCGAGCTATATTTCCAAGATATCTGTGGTCAAATACTATTAGCTTACGAATATCTTCTACTCTTAGTGGTCACGTTTGGCAGCCGTAAAGTAGAACAAAACGAACTGCCGCGTAGTATACTCGTCCCTTAATTGGTGGACGGATATCTCGCCTTCGCCATAGGTGACGTACGTTGGCAAAAGCCAAACGAGCTTCTCGAATCCGTGCTGAGATTTCGTCAGACACCAATCCATTAGGCTGATCAGAAGTTATCGACGCACACAGATGCAGTTGTCGATTCAAATCCCATAGTGGTAGAGGTAGTAAAAATTTTAGCAGTAATCGGAAAATTTAGGGTTTGAATATGTTATTCAAAGAGTATAATCCAGTGAAGTAAATTTGGAAAGAGAAAAAAAGGGACATGAAGAATTCAAAAGACTAGAATTTGGGAAAACAAAAAGAGTGGATGCACCTGAGCCATTGCAAACGATTTTGAGCCATGTCATTCAAGGTCTCTAACCATCGATTGCTATCATCTCGCGGATCCCAACCAGATAGTCTACACCTACCAACATGGCTCAGTCCACTTGTCAGCGACTTTATGGATTTGTGCCATGTTTTGATCTGGCCGACCCTAGCTTTCTCCCAACCTACCCCTACACTATGTTGATTATTTCAGTGTCTAGCACGTATGAAGTGCACCGTTTACCAATTCAAAGAGACAATATATTAAAGGAATTCTAAACAAGCAGTGTGCCTGATGAATAAGTTGTAGACAAACAAAGAATAGAAAACAAAATACCTTTCTAAAACCTTGTAACTCTTACCGAAGTATTGCGGTTCAGAAGAAAAACCTCTACGTCTAACAATATTCACGCTCCTTTTATGATTCTAAGGCATATGTGTTAATAAAATTTACTCACGAACATTATATATGTAGGTAGACAACAGGATACATATGACTATGACAAACGCGATGGCCAAAACACGAGAGTGAGGACGTGTCATGAACTTGCAGCGATGTGACAATGCTTATCGCTGATAAGTCGTCTTGAAGGATGGAAAATCTGGTCAGAAATCAAAAGTCCATAAAGGCTACGACTAAAAACCTAACTTGATGACAAAAGAATTTGATGAAATTATGCAAACGTGTATTTAAAATTTATTGGTAAAACAGGCTAATATGGAATTAATGCATATATTGATAACAATAGCAATGAAAAATATTCTGTTGTTCTGGCTGAAATGAAGAATCGTTTGTTGACGAGAACTATCCTGTGTATATTTGCGGTTATATTGTTATTGTACTATACATTCTGGTAGGAAGCTAGAGTCCCGTTAAGATTGTTTGAAATAACTGACTCCAGCTTCTTAACCAAAATGGTTAGTACAACATTATAAGCAATTAGTTCCTTTGACAGATTCGAATAGTGTAATAAGAAGATGGAGATCATTGGAACTGTGTGATATATTAGCGCAATACGTTTCGAGCAATCTGATCACACATATACTTGTTAAGGATATCTATATGTAAAGTCCAGTTTATATATGAAGGTGAACACTTGCCAGATCAATGGGGTCAACAAAGGATTCCTCATTTCAGCCTGAACCATACTGCTGACAGAATATTTTTTCATCACTATTGTTTTCAATATATGCATTTATTCCACGACCGAGGATAAAAGTCATCTGGTTAAAGTCTTATGTGCTCTACTCAGGTTGTCAATTCTGGAACTGGTGCTCTCTTTATTAACAATCTCCCAAAATTAGATACAAACATGACGAGGAAAATGCAGTCTGGAAATAGAAGGTAGAACCAAACATGATGAACATGGAGCCAAATGTGTGTTTACGTTGGGAGTATAGGGGTTTAAAGTTAGTGTTCAGAAGCTTTAGTGCTAAGAGTTAAATGTTAAAAGATACAAAGCTAAGATTAAGTGTCTGTACATATTGCACAACTATGAACTCTAGCTCAACTTATCGATATGTAGCACTAGCAACAATAAGAAAGCTCAAATTGTCTACATCTGTAGTTTCGTTTCTTGCACCGAGTAGTGAACTACTGGAATTTTCTGCCAGAACACGTAATACCACATTCTTTCGATATATTCAAAACGATATTGGACCTCCATAGTGTTACAAACTGCAAGGATTAACATAGGTCGATAGACCTGTCCTTATTACTGAAAAGTGAACATTTAAAATTACTAATCTGTGATTCTATTACTTTATGTTTTAGAGCTTTCACACGAAGGCTGCATTCTGCATTGATTAACCTTACACTCACTCCCGAATTCGCCTAAGGTTGTTGACTTATCATTGTTTTACCAATAAAACTCGTCCGACCGACCACTTTAAACGTGGAATCCCACGTATTTATGAAGAAAAAACAATGACGGCATATTAGGCAATCACCGATTATTATGGAACAACATGAAGTTTACTAGCGTAAAATCAGATGAGACTCTAAGCAGCATACCTTAAGAGTTTGAAGCAAAAAGAGGGGGTCACAACACAAATCACCTGGGTGCCACATTATTTAAATAATTTGGCGCGTTAAAACGCAGCTAACGCGAAGAAAAAATTAACTTATTTCTATTATCATCAGGAGCTTCTAGAAATCGCAACCTTATATCCCTTTGGAATATCTGAGGATTTTATGATAGTGCAGGACGGGACCACCCGTTCCATATCTATTTTCAGTGGCATGTCTCAAGGGGGCTGTAAAAAGGGTGCAAGAAAAAGAAAAGATGAGAAGCAGAGCGGACAGTGTTAACGAAGGAATAGTTAAAGTATGAATATTCAGTCAAGTTCTCTCTTATTGAAGTATTTATTAGGCAAGAGCATTCTAATCGTAGCGCGCGAATTTCAAAAAGGACAGTGAATTTTGTACTTGTTGTGATTATACTTGCTTTTGGTACTTATTGCACTAAAAAGCATTCTTGGTCTACTTTAACTAAGAGTTCTTTGGTTAAAGTTTGAAATTTTTGCAACATTTTGTCCTGGGTACCTGTTTTTAGTCCTTGACTAACACTTGTATTCACATTGTTATCATTTTTTGTTTTTAAACCTTTTAAATCGAATTACAATAGTTGGTAAGACTCACAAATGTGGGCAAACAAACTGTTTGTTCCCTGTGGAAGAGGGGATGCAGTGTGACGAATGCCATAAGTGGTTCCACAAAATGTGCACCCGCTTAAGTCCCACCGCATACAAAAGATGCTCGAAGCCTAACTCACATTGGCTTTGCATGTTTTGCTGTGCCAACAAGGCATTACTAATACAGGAGGCTATGAGCCTGTTGGCTTTGGCCTGTAAAAAGAAGGATGGCATATGCGCCGACAACACGGGCACTGACAGCGACGAATGTGTCAGTGTAGTACCTGCTGTTACGCGACGCCTCAAACAATCGACTCCGACTGACGTAAAAGTGGAATCTTCGTTGACATTAACAGGGGGAGTAGTACCACCTGGTACTGACATTGTTAATAATGCACCTTTAATGGGAACCGAAGATCTGGATAAAACAGTCACCGTTCCAAATAGTCCCAGTGTTATGAGGGATGAAAAATGGAATACGGTACGTAGGAAACGAACCGAAATAAAAAAGCTGTAAGCAATACACAGGTAGTTAGTAACTCCCTGGTGGACCCAAATTGTGAGCCACAAATTGCACTACCAAAATCTGAAGGTAAGAGTGAAACCCATCGTGGCGTGACTGAGAAGAAAAATCTAATAACATCGAATATTATTGTGAGCAAATTGCGGGAGTCAAACGACCCTGATCCGAAAATTAGACACGCGCATGACTTAGAAAAGCTAGGAGAATACATTCGTAGTATTTTACCAGATAACTCCAAAGGAGTTCAGGTCAAAAAATTGGTAAGAATAGGCAAGAGGACCGAGGACAATGTTGAACCCCGTCCATGCAGACTCCTTAAGGTAATCCTAGGATCGGAGAAGCAACGGGATCTCTTGTTAAGTAGCGCTCGTTGTCATGACAATTCTGACATCCGAGTTAGACCTGACATGTCTCTCGAAGATAGAATAAAAAGGAAGAAAGCACTAGCTGAGCTTGAAACCCGTCGGCAAAACGGCGAGGAGGATCTCCGGTTAGTGGGTTTTCGGATAGTCAGGTCTTGGAAGCGAATGCTACCAAGGCCTGTGTGGATAGGCTGTTCTACTTAGGAGTTTTATATGCCAACGCTCGTAGTTTACGAAATAAGTTCTATGAACTAGAAGCACTAGTAGACAGGTTAAAGCCACTCATAGTAGCAGTGACAGAAACTTGGTTAGTCCATGACTTAGACATTACTCCAAAATTATCCGGATACCATTGCATCAGGAGTGATAGACATAGATGTAGAAAAGGAGGCGGCGTCCTGTTATATATAGCCAATGGCATAAATATCCGCTCCTTTACTAGCGAATTCCATGATAGCGGCACTTGTGAAGTCATTAGCTGTAAGTTGGCTATAGGATGCAGTACATTTATGCTAGGTGTCATCTATCGCAGCCCAATCTGCCTAGCTGATGACTTTGTTTTAGAGCACATTCATCTTTGGAGTGAAAATACCAGATGTTTGATAATAGGAGACTTTAACGCACCTGATATTAGTTGGACTGATATGACCACAGAAGGATCTATAAACTCCTTTGATAGTAGGTTACTGATGACAATAATGGAGCATGCACTAGTACAGCATATATCCCAACCCACACGTTTTGGTGTTAACCAGGGTTCTTCGCTGCTGGATTTGGTAATCACTCATGAGACTGAGGATATTTTCGACTTAAATATTCTCCCGCCGTTAGTGAACAGCGATCATGCTGTTTTGTCATTCACGTTTCGAACTAGGGACATGTTATACGATCAAGTTACACCTCGCCCAAATGTATGGAAAGCTAACATATCAGCCATTCAGGAATGTGCTGCTAAGACAGATTGGTTAGTAGATACTAGCATATCAGTTGAAGAAGCATGGTCTGTATTTAAAGGTAAATTTAGACTAGTTACGTCCCCGTTCATACCATACCTGGTATCGCGAAGACCGAATAATAGTCCACCATGGATAACTAAAGCGGTCAGGAAACTCCTTAGAAAAAGGAAGAATCACTGGGATATGTTCATCTCTACTGACTTAGAACAATACACATCCAGTTACTGTAAGATTAGGAATGCCTGTAAAGCGTTAATAAGTAAAACTAGACTATCATACGAAAAACAGTTGGTTAGGGATTCTAGATATAGTCCGAAACGGTTATTCTCGTATATAAAAAGGCGAACTAAGAGAAGCGATGGAATTCCATCACTTTTGATACGAGATAATCCGTTAATCTTAGCAGAGAATGATGCCAAAAAAGCTGAAGCTTTATCGGAATATTTTATTAGTGTTTTCTATCGGTAATGAGGAACGACCAATGATTCATTGTGACCGTGACGGCTCGCTGATGGATCCTGTAGTCATTGAGAAAGATACTGTTTTAAGGCTACTTCAGCATCTCAAACCTGATAAGTCCAGTGGTCCCGATGATATTCATCCTAGGATTATGAAAGCCATATCAGGTGAAATCGCTGAACCATTAGCGATACTATTCGACATGTCTCTGAGACAGTCCAGACTTCCTATAGACTGGAAAGACGCCATAATAAGTCCGGTGTATAAGGCTGGGAGTAGGGATTTAGTTAGTAACTGTAGACCCGTTAGTTTAACTAATGCAGTTGTGAAACTGATGGAGAAAATCATTCGGATAGCTGTTATAAACTATGTTGAAGGGCAAAATCTTTTCTCCAGGGCACAACATGGTTTTCGGAAAGGCCTATCTTGCTTGACAAATCTTCTCATTGCACGAGAAGAGTGGGCTGCGGCAAAGGATCGGAATGCTCCTGTGGAGGTAATTTTCATAGATCTAAGTAAAGCCTTTGATA